TGCCTACTACAACACATGCAACATGCAATTAATAGGCTTGGCTACTAACATAACATATGGATCGGTTTGATAACATGCGGTTAAACACGTATTCAAAGATATGGAATACAGAATTAATGGATGCAAGTATAAGGTATGCTAATTGAAACGTGACCCTAATCTAACCATAAAAAGTGGTTAAGTAAAAGGGAGAAAGACGTGCGGTTAAGTAAAAGGGAGAAAGACGTGGGGTTGAAAAACATACACACACATACGCCCACTTATTACAACATTACGCCCTCGCGAAGGAGGGTCCAAATGAATAAGCTAACCAGCTAGCTACGCTAATTAAGCTAACTAATACAAAACTTGAAACCAATTAACTAACTAACTAGTTAACTACTTATAAAACGAAATTGAATAACTAGTTAAACTAACTAATTATTTACAACTCTTAATTAGCTATAATTAAGTAATTACAACACGTATTTGATTTATTGCTAATTAAATTAATTAGCTAATCCCGGGAAGCGATGGATACATGCATGCTCGATCTTTCACCCGAAAAGCCACTGTCTTGCTACTGAAAGCCTCTGTTTACACATATGAACACCAACAAAGCTGTCCACTTCCAGAACACCTTTGCTCCACCTTACCAATACACTATGCAAATTTCATTGATGGCCAATAGGGGGCCAGTTGGCTACCATTGGTGGCCGGTCGGCTACTGGTGGTGGCTGTTGGCCATTGTTGTCCTGAACTTCCTTACTGCAACAGATAACAAAACAGAGCAAAATAGTATATTCTCAAGGGTTGTTTGCACACTTTGCCTCTGATTTTCATGGGAAAATCAAAGAAGGGACAAAATTTGGGTTCACAAACCATCAATCAAGCAATTTCATTGCATGATGGTTTGTGAAACCAATTGTGCAAGCTTAATAAATGCAAGAACAAGACTCAAATGACCATCACCCTATCATGCATGATCAAAGGCGATGGAGGCCAAGGAAAGTGGCATATTTCATCACTTTGAGTATGAAATGTTCAATTTTTCTTGTGTTCAAATTAATGCCCGATTTGAACACAGGCAATGCAACACAAAGAGATGCTTATCTTGCATTTTTTACTTGTCAATTTTGTTTACTCATTTTAATTACCAAATCATTCATTAATCTATTAAGTCCATTGGTGAGTGTCCTCTAATGGAAGGAGGGCTCAAACCACAAGTTGCTTTGGACATGAAAGAGGCATTACACAATTGGTAATGAACCCCCTAAGGGATTAAACCATTAGGTGTAGCACCTCCATTTTACATTTAGGCAAACAAGTGGTTTGAAACCACTTTCAAAGCAAAACCAAGAGGTGAAGAAATGAGGGAGATTGTAGAGATTATAAGTGTTGAAATGAAGTAAAAAAGGCACTAAAACATGCAATCAACTCACACCAATGATGGTTAAAGCTTTAAAACACTAAACTAGTGAAATGGGTTACACTACAACTATGCAAAACAAGACTCAAATGAACTAACCAAAGCAGAGCTAAAACAGGTTATTTCAAAGGTTAAAACATGCTGGACTTGAGCGAAGTTAAGTTAGAAAAATATGCTAACATGTGAAGCTAATTAGGCATGCAAACAAGACACAAGGGGGAGAGGATAACCCCTCCAAATTTGGACCTCAAAATAAGTTTTTTTCCCATTGAAAAACCTCTGAAATTCAGTGGTTAAAAGGCCTAAAAAATTTGATTTGAAAGTGATGAATAAAGGCACAAAAACTTTACAAACTAATAAGCAAGAATGGTGAACCACTCCCTAACTAAAAAAGGGCTCACACCATCACTTTTAGGCCACAAAAATAGAGTTTTTCTTAGTTCAAAACCAGCCCCAGAACAGTAAGAAAAGATGGTAAAACAAGCTTGCAAAACAAAGTAAACAAGGCAAGTAAACTACCTCTTAAAGCAAAGGGCAATTCTAGGCACAAAACCAAGCTAAAACCACCTTCAAGAGCTCCAAGAAGACCCCAAGTAACCTCAGCTCAAAGGTAAGAGGATTTGATTTAGGATGTGTATGCAAAAGTGTAGAGAAAACAAGCAATTAGGCACAAAATTATAAGAGAGAGAGAGAGAGAGAGAGAAATCTAGAGAGAGAAAGAGAGATATTTGCTCTAAGTTTTCTAACCTTTTAAAATGGGGAAGGAACCCCCCTATATATAGAAAAACAAGTTTTGAGCTTAGAAACATCCTACCATACACGTGTATGGAGATGCAGCTTAATGTGCTAACAGTTGGCGCAGCTGTCAACAAATATCTGGAAAAAAAGACTAGTGGCCGACTGGCCACACCAATGGCCGACACCCAAGGGCCATGGCCGACAACCACTGGTGGTGGCCGACAGGTCACCACAAGTTCCAGGCACAAGTTTTGATCCAAAACAAGGCACATAAAGGACAAGGTCTAAAGGCTCAAAGACAGGGCGCTCCACCGAGGACTTCGAGCACTCAAAATGAACACATGCAACCATAATCATCAAATGCACAAGTGATGACGTCCAAGTCTTGAGGATAGTCAAAAATTGGGTGTCTACAAGGGTACACTACTACAAAATCATAAATAGATCATACTTTTTATGTGCGATATATGTTATTTAATCACACATTTTAAATTTTGTCTAAGTGCAATCTTTGAGAGTGTAATTAAAAAGGATCATTTTTAATCACACATTTTAAGTATCATTAAAAGATGATTCCATCACAAGTTATGCGTGGGCTAATAAATATTTGGATCACACATTTTGCGTGTGATAATAAATATTTAGATCACACTTTTTATGTGTGATATATAACTAATAAAACATGTGATTAATAATGAGATAAGATCACACGTTATATGCATTTCTCATCACAGTTAATGAGTGATAAAAAAAAAAAAAGGGTTCAACATCTGAAGAATAATCAATATTATTTTTGTACGCATTTGAAGAATGTAATCCTTTGAATCACAACCACATATTGAATGGAATAACATCATATATTTCATAAATGAAAGTTGAATGTTCAAAAGTATATACAAATGAATTAACGAAAAAAAATTAACTGTAATTATGTATATTAAAAAAATGAAAAAACTTGAAGCACAAAAACCTTGAATTCTTTGACCATATTTTGCATGTCTCCAAGTAATTTTTGACCTAAAAAATGAAAACACAAATTAATTCCGAGGCAAAATTTGTCTCTTCTTTAGAAATTACGAATGCAGTTAAACCAACAACAAAATGAAACATAACAAAGAAAATCCATGAGCATAAAATCATCCATCTTGTTGTACCCTTGTGTCAATAATCACTTGTCCACATGCAGGGGAAAAAAAATCTCCCATATGCAGGAACAAATTTGGTAGTCCATGTCGAAATTGATGGACATGACAAATATAGTAAACAAATTTCTTATTTTTTGATGACATAACAAATCTCGTAGTTCATGGCGAAACTTATATTATTACACCTAATCCTACATTCCTAAACATGTATCAATGTCCACATTAAAAAAAGTATAACAATAGAAAGAATAACAAACTGAGTGAATATTAAATTAAATTCCTATGGAAGCATGGTTGATAGTATGTATATTGTTTTATGTCCTATACATGGCATGTTATTTTGTATGGTAGGATAATAAATTGAGTAAATATTTATATACAAATTAAATAACATAGAAATTAAAGCTCTATCTCTCTATTTCTTTATCTAAAAAACAGGTTATCTCACCAAATGGTTCAATAATTTTTATCAATTTTTATATCAGTTTGCCTATAAAATGTTAAAATTACTTTCGAAATAATGAGAGAAACATGAAGATCTTGTGCACAAGCATAGATTTTTATTTTATTTTATTTTATTTATTTATTATTTTGAAAAATAACGAGGTAAAAGAAAGACCATATAAACTTTACAAACATATAGGTCTAAAAAGAAAAAAGAAAACATTGATGTTGCATAAGCAATTGTTATTATCCTCATTAAATATATGCCTTTTCTATCAAGATTACTTTTATCTTACTTTCATCTACTTGAAGCCAAAATACATAAGAAATAGTTCAAAGGGTGAGGGGGGGTTGGGGTGAAACTGTTTTACCATGCTCCAGACAGACATTTTCACTTTTTCCATAATTAAAAAAAAAAACTAACTGAAAGACTATAACACGTAAAATGCTCCTTAAATATTAGCAAAAGGCCATCATTCATATTTTCACATCTAGTATAATATATTGACTTACTTGATTGTAACACAAGATCTCTATAGAAGGCTTAAGCTTTTGCCAAGGTTTTAACCGAAATGAACCATCTCCTCCAACAGCTAGATGTTATAACTTCCCTACTGACCATTATGTAACTAGTTTTACATTTGCCTATTCTAGGAATTCTTAGTTCCACTCCTGCTTCTATTGAAGTCTTGGAGTTAGTAATCAATTAGCAAGCTACCAACCAAGAGACAAAAAGAGGAAATTCCATGTTAACACAAATGGCCCAACACAATGTGGAATCTGTTAGATAATGTCTCAATGGGACCACATAATTAAATGTGGTATTATCATTTATAAGAAGCCTACAATTTAAGTGATTCAATTTAGTTAATAGGCTTAAGGGTATATGTGTTATGGACCTAATGTGTAGATACTAGTTGTATAATTTCTATTTCTATGAGGGGCAGAAATAGAAATTAAAACATATTGGTTAAAGTTGGTTTTCATTACCTTTCAGTTTTAAAACCAATAATGATTAATTTATTGGTTTTCATTACCTTTCAATTATGAAAACCAATTACAACCTTTAAAAGGTTATGGTCCCTATTCCTTCCCAAGGTGAAAAAAAAAAATAAGAACATTGTTTTGTTTTTCTAAATCCTCTCAAGAAGAAACATAAGGCACCAAAGAGAAAGGATTAGAAGGCTCTAACAAAGTCAATATCAAAGGTTTATGTTTGTCATTTTCTTTAGATGCTTAATTTAATATGGGTTATGCTAAAATGTGGAAATAATACCAGAAGAGTTAGAATTTCATTGTATTTTTCAGATATTTTCAAAATATTTTTAGCCATTTCTACATATTTTTTTACACATATCAATTGCTACTCATTGTCATTAGCATTTCCCGTTTAATATTCATTTTATTGTGCTTTTGCAGTATTAATAGTTTATTTATTTATATATATTTTTTGTTTTGTTTTTTAAGGACGTAGAAGTCTTGGATCATCAACAATTTATTTGGTATAATTACAATAGTTTAGCTTGAAATGGAGGGTTGTGGAGATTTCCTACAGTGGCTTGGACCTGACACGTCTATGAATATTCTCATGTGTTTAAAGGACCCGTCAGATCTCATCCGTGTCTGTTCAGTTTCAAGTTCTTGGCGCCGGTTTGGTGAGCTCACATCTGCAAATTATAGGGCTTTGCTTCAATTTTCATTAAGCTAAAGCTTTGATTTCGCTATATATATTTTCCCCATATGTCATAGTTTTCTTTGGGCTTCATGCATTGTTGTATGAATTCTAATGTCAAAAATGTTTCCAATCCATACAATTGTGTGTTCCATTTCAAAATCTAGGTTTTAGGACACTTATGAATCCTGGTTTATAAGATTACTTTGGTCATGTGAACAATTACTCAATTGGATGGTTTTTTTTTTTTTCATAATTTACTTGGGTGCTGTTCCTTTGAATGGATTGGCTTCTGTCCTATGCCTTATTTTTTTTGGTCTACAAATTTTTTTTTGAACTTCTTGTATTGTTAGTGATAAAAGTAAGTGGCCCTATTACAAATCACTTAGGTGGTGTTTGGTTCATTAGCATGATTTTCTGCAGAAGTGGAATAACTATTAATTGGCTTCCCAATAGAATGGTCATTCTCTTGAATTGTTGAATGGTGATTCTATTTGGAATGTACATTTCACAGGCCACCAAAACCACCGCCCATTCTACAGTGATCATTCCATTCCATTCCAGAATGGTTGCTTTGACGGAATGAGCATTCCATTCCAACCTTCATTCTACAGTGAACCAAACACTACCTCACTTTACATAACAAGTTCTTCCCTCTTTTACCTAGATAACTATTTTTTGATGATTGAGAAAGAGAGAAAATATAACAGAAGTTATTTTATCTGTTTTATTGATTGTTTCTGATATGGATTTAAATCTCAAGCATTGACTGCAAGTAACCTCTTGAAGCAACTTTGTTTAAAGAATGTTTCCTGAAATATCACTGAGGTAGTGTTTCACTACAATGATTATGGGTAGGAATGGAATGGCTATTACTTGACTTCCCAATGGAATGGTGATTCTATTTGGAATGCATTTTTTATCTTTTCAACAAACCGACCATGGGAATCGGTTTTCCATTTCAGTCTTCATTCTCCTAAATCAAACACTACCTCACTTTTTAGTTACAGAACAAGTTCTTCCATTTTCTACCCAGATAACTGATTTTTGTTGATTTGATAAAAAGAGAGAATACAACAGAAGTTTATTTTTTTATTTTTTTATTTTTATCTGTTCTATTGATTGTTTCTGATTTGGGTTCAAAATCTCATGCAGTGATTGAAAATAGCCTCTCGAAGCAGCTTTGTCTAAGACTGTTTCCTGAAATATCAAGTTTTGCCCATGTTATTGAAGTGGAAAACACGATAGAACCCATAGTAGTCAAGCCTGACAAGCCTATGGAATGGGAATACTTGAAGAGGGATCATAGGGTCTATGCCTTTTTAGCTCGTGGTCTTACCTCTTTATGCTCGCTTGGTTTTTTTTTTTTCCTTTCATTTTTTTGGAATTTTATATGTAATTTTCTTTAAATGTTTGATTTACTTATATTCATTATATTGTGCTTTTGCAATGTTATTTGGTGTTTTTTTATTTTATTTTATTTTAATCTTTTTGAAATTTTATGTTTGTCATTTTCTTTAGATGCTTAATTTAATATGGGTTATGCTAAAATGTGGAAATAATACCAGAAGAGTTAGAATTTCATTGTATTTTTCAGATATTTTCAAAATATTTTTAGCCATTTCTACATATTTTTTTACACATATCAATTGCTACTCATTGTCATTAGCATTTCCCGTTTAATATTCATTTTATTGTGCTTTTGCAGTATTAATAGTTTATTTATTTATATATATTTTTTGTTTTGTTTTTTAAGGACGTAGAAGTCTTGGATCATCAACAATTTATTTGGTATAATTACAATAGTTTAGCTTGAAATGGAGGGTTGTGGAGATTTCCTACAGTGGCTTGGACCTGACACGTCTATGAATATTCTCATGTGTTTAAAGGACCCGTCAGATCTCATCCGTGTCTGTTCAGTTTCAAGTTCTTGGCGCCGGTTTGGTGAGCTCACATCTGCAAATTATAGGGCTTTGCTTCAATTTTCATTAAGCTAAAGCTTTGATTTCGCTATATATATTTTCCCCATATGTCATAGTTTTCTTTGGGCTTCATGCATTGTTGTATGAATTCTAATGTCAAAAATGTTTCCAATCCATACAATTGTGTGTTCCATTTCAAAATCTAGGTTTTAGGACACTTATGAATCCTGGTTTATAAGATTACTTTGGTCATGTGAACAATTACTCAATTGGATGGTTTTTTTTTTTTTCATAATTTACTTGGGTGCTGTTCCTTTGAATGGATTGGCTTCTGTCCTATGCCTTATTTTTTTTGGTCTACAAATTTTTTTTTGAACTTCTTGTATTGTTAGTGATAAAAGTAAGTGGCCCTATTACAAATCACTTAGGTGGTGTTTGGTTCATTAGCATGATTTTCTGCAGAAGTGGAATAACTATTAATTGGCTTCCCAATAGAATGGTCATTCTCTTGAATTGTTGAATGGTGATTCTATTTGGAATGTACATTTCACAGGCCACCAAAACCACCGCCCATTCTACAGTGATCATTCCATTCCATTCCAGAATGGTTGCTTTGACGGAATGAGCATTCCATTCCAACCTTCATTCTACAGTGAACCAAACACTACCTCACTTTACATAACAAGTTCTTCCCTCTTTTACCTAGATAACTATTTTTTGATGATTGAGAAAGAGAGAAAATATAACAGAAGTTATTTTATCTGTTTTATTGATTGTTTCTGATATGGATTTAAATCTCAAGCATTGACTGCAAGTAACCTCTTGAAGCAACTTTGTTTAAAGAATGTTTCCTGAAATATCACTGAGGTAGTGTTTCACTACAATGATTATGGGTAGGAATGGAATGGCTATTACTTGACTTCCCAATGGAATGGTGATTCTATTTGGAATGCATTTTTTATCTTTTCAACAAACCGACCATGGGAATCGGTTTTCCATTTCAGTCTTCATTCTCCTAAATCAAACACTACCTCACTTTTTAGTTACAGAACAAGTTCTTCCATTTTCTACCCAGATAACTGATTTTTGTTGATTTGATAAAAAGAGAGAATACAACAGAAGTTTATTTTTTTATTTTTTTATTTTTATCTGTTCTATTGATTGTTTCTGATTTGGGTTCAAAATCTCATGCAGTGATTGAAAATAGCCTCTCGAAGCAGCTTTGTCTAAGACTGTTTCCTGAAATATCAAGTTTTGCCCATGTTATTGAAGTGGAAAACACGATAGAACCCATAGTAGTCAAGCCTGACAAGCCTATGGAATGGGAATACTTGAAGAGGGATCATAGGGTCTATGCCTTTTTAGCTCGTGGTCTTACCTCTTTATGCTCGCTTGGTTTTTTTTTTTTCCTTTCATTTTTTTGGAATTTTATATGTAATTTTCTTTAAATGTTTGATTTACTTATATTCATTATATTGTGCTTTTGCAATGTTATTTGGTGTTTTTTTATTTTATTTTATTTTAATCTTTTTGAAATTTTATGTTTGTCATTTTCTTTAGATGCTTAATTTAATATGGGTTATGCTAAAATGTGGAAATAATACCAGAAGAGTTAGAATTTCATTGTATTTTTCAGATATTTTCAAAATATTTTTAGCCATTTCTACATATTTTTTTACACATATCAATTGCTACTCATTGTCATTAGCATTTCCCGTTTAATATTCATTTTATTGTGCTTTTGCAGTATTAATAGTTTATTTATTTATATATATTTTTTGTTTTGTTTTTTAAGGACGTAGAAGTCTTGGATCATCAACAATTTATTTGGTATAATTACAATAGTTTAGCTTGAAATGGAGGGTTGTGGAGATTTCCTACAGTGGCTTGGACCTGACACGTCTATGAATATTCTCATGTGTTTAAAGGACCCGTCAGATCTCATCCGTGTCTGTTCAGTTTCAAGTTCTTGGCGCCGGTTTGGTGAGCTCACATCTGCAAATTATAGGGCTTTGCTTCAATTTTCATTAAGCTAAAGCTTTGATTTCGCTATATATATTTTCCCCATATGTCATAGTTTTCTTTGGGCTTCATGCATTGTTGTATGAATTCTAATGTCAAAAATGTTTCCAATCCATACAATTGTGTGTTCCATTTCAAAATCTAGGTTTTAGGACACTTATGAATCCTGGTTTATAAGATTACTTTGGTCATGTGAACAATTACTCAATTGGATGGTTTTTTTTTTTTTTTCATAATTTACTTGGGTGCTGTTCCTTTGAATGGATTGGCTTCTGTCCTATGCCTTATTTTTTTTGGTCTACAAATTTTTTTTTGAACTTCTTGTATTGTTAGTGATAAAAGTAAGTGGCCCTATTACAAATCACTTAGGTGGTGTTTGGTTCATTAGCATGATTTTCTGCAGAAGTGGAATAACTATTAATTGGCTTCCCAATAGAATGGTCATTCTCTTGAATTGTTGAATGGTGATTCTATTTGGAATGTACATTTCACAGGCCACCAAAACCACCGCCCATTCTACAGTGATCATTCCATTCCATTCCAGAATGGTTGCTTTGACGGAATGAGCATTCCATTCCAACCTTCATTCTACAGTGAACCAAACACTACCTCACTTTACATAACAAGTTCTTCCCTCTTTTACCTAGATAACTATTTTTTGATGATTGAGAAAGAGAGAAAATATAACAGAAGTTATTTTATCTGTTTTATTGATTGTTTCTGATATGGATTTAAATCTCAAGCATTGACTGCAAGTAACCTCTTGAAGCAACTTTGTTTAAAGAATGTTTCCTGAAATATCACTGAGGTAGTGTTTCACTACAATGATTATGGGTAGGAATGGAATGGCTATTACTTGACTTCCCAATGGAATGGTGATTCTATTTGGAATGTACATTTCACAGGCCACCAAAACCACCGCCCATTCTACAGTGATCATTCCATTCCATTCCAGAATGGTTGCTTTGACGGAATGAGCATTCCATTCCAACCTTCATTCTACAGTGAACCAAACACTACCTCACTTTACATAACAAGTTCTTCCCTCTTTTACCTAGATAACTATTTTTTGATGATTGAGAAAGAGAGAAAATATAACAGAAGTTATTTTATCTGTTTTATTGATTGTTTCTGATATGGATTTAAATCTCAAGCATTGACTGCAAGTAACCTCTTGAAGCAACTTTGTTTAAAGAATGTTTCCTGAAATATCACTGAGGTAGTGTTTCACTACAATGATTATGGGTAGGAATGGAATGGCTATTACTTGACTTCCCAATGGAATGGTGATTCTATTTGGAATGTACATTTCACAGGCCACCAAAACCACCGCCCATTCTACAGTGATCATTCCATTCCATTCCAGAATGGTTGCTTTGACGGAATGAGCATTCCATTCCAACCTTCATTCTACAGTGAACCAAACACTACCTCACTTTACATAACAAGTTCTTCCCTCTTTTACCTAGATAACTATTTTTTGATGATTGAGAAAGAGAGAAAATATAACAGAAGTTATTTTATCTGTTTTATTGATTGTTTCTGATATGGATTTAAATCTCAAGCATTGACTGCAAGTAACCTCTTGAAGCAACTTTGTTTAAAGAATGTTTCCTGAAATATCACTGAGGTAGTGTTTCACTACAATGATTATGGGTAGGAATGGAATGGCTATTACTTGACTTCCCAATGGAATGGTGATTCTATTTGGAATGCATTTTTTATCTTTTCAACAAACCGACCATGGGAATCGGTTTTCCATTTCAGTCTTCATTCTCCTAAATCAAACACTACCTCACTTTTTAGTTACAGAACAAGTTCTTCCATTTTCTACCCAGATAACTGATTTTTGTTGATTTGATAAAAAGAGAGAATACAACAGAAGTTTATTTTTTTATTTTTTTATTTTTATCTGTTCTATTGATTGTTTCTGATTTGGGTTCAAAATCTCATGCAGTGATTGAAAATAGCCTCTCGAAGCAGCTTTGTCTAAGACTGTTTCCTGAAATATCAAGTTTTGCCCATGTTATTGAAGTGGAAAACACGATAGAACCCATAGTAGTCAAGCCTGACAAGCCTATGGAATGGGAATACTTGAAGAGGGATCATAGGGTCTATGCCTTTTTAGCTCGTGGTCTTACCTCTTTCGTGAGAAAAGATTGCCTTTCAGAGGCCATTTTTGCATCCAGCACTGATAATTATCCTGAAGAAAGCATTCAAAATACTCTGGAACCAAGTGATAGGGTTGAACAGAGAGCTTCATACTGGTCAAGCGAAGGTGAAAGTGATCCTACAGTTCCCGAGATATTAGACTATAAGTTGATTTCAAAGTTGTGTGTCATCACTGAAATCCATGTACAACCATTCCAAGGTTATTTTCGTAACTCCATTTACACTCGTGCTGTACTTGTTTTGTACACCGATTCATTTTATTTTATTTACTCACAAAAAAAGTATGTTTTCTTATCAGCATATTTTCAGTTCGGATTTCCTATATATTCAGCAAGGGCTGTGCGATTTCGAATGGGACGTCCCAGATCCTCAATGGAAATAGGAAGTGACTTCAGAGATGAGTTTGAAGCTGGTCGTAAGTCACCTGACTACGCATTCAAATGGACATACACCTCACCAGAATTTCCAATGGCTCAGGTAAGAGGGAGAGGTGGAGTCATTTTCTTTTCTTTGTAGGAAGGCAATGGTAGGAGGAAGGAATAGTTGTGTGTAAATCTCTTGGGGTCAACAAAATTAATCACTAAAAAAATGGGTGAAAAGAAGGGGAAAAAATCAAGTGCATTTTTTACTTTCAAATCTTTGCTCTTCAATACAACACCTGTATGTAAATACTTGGAATGATAATGGTAAATGAACATAACTCCTCTCTGCTCAACACATCTAGCCGAGGAAAAGGTATGAATTTTTTTAGTCGGCGTGGCAAAAAAGATTTATCGTTATTTGTTTTTTGTCAAGCTGAGTAAAAACTATGAAGCTTCGAATATTTATCAATTTTTGTGGTATCGTATTCATTGCTGGATATGTTTTAAGTAAGGAAAAATTACAAAACATGTCTACCATTATGCAACTACGTCAAATTAAATGAATATAAAAGATCACATGGAAAGCTTAAGATACAGTAACTCAAGCAAACTTAAATTACATCATCAAGATGCTATATTTGGAACAAGCTGAGGTCCTAATTAGGCCTCCTTTTTGATATTTCAAGCATTTTTGGTGAATTTTTGAATTATCTCAAAATCTAAAATGTTTAGATGATTTCTTCATGGATATTAGGAGAATTGCTTGCAAAAATTCAAGCTTCCAGAGCCTGTTCTTTGCATCGGTGGAATCCTGCAAGTAGAGCTTTTGGGTAGAGTACAGAGACAAGAATTGGATGGTTTATTTTATATATGGTTAGTTCCTTGCAGTTCTATCTACTATTTATTGTTACTCAGCGTGATTTCTTTTAATGGATTGAATTGTGATGCATTAGCATGCTAGATAAATTTTAGTGTTTGAATGTGTCCATACGATTTGAGCTACATCTAAAGAAAAAAGTCCAGGAACCTATAAAATTTATGATCTGAATGAACAGATCTGTGAGGGTACACCTTTAGGCTTGTCTAAAGAAGAATTTTTAGGTTAGGCCGAAGTATGATGTATAGTAATTGTATACCCTTCACATGAAACCCTTGTGTCACAGACCCATGCACCTCACAAGACGGTCATCCCAACACGTGGCTGCATAACCAAGATCGTTTCCACACAGTTGATACGGTTGTGATGCACTTCAACCTGCTTTGATATTACTACAAGTCCAGACCTCTCAAAAGGGTCAACCCTCGAAAGACTACCCAACCCAGGGATCTTATATGCAAGTGGCAACCCTTTCGAGAGACATGGGTCCATGACACTTGGCTACTAAAAGATGCCAGTTGTTTGATAGGCATTATGATGGTCTGCATTTCTTTCCTTTTGTGGCGTTTTGATTTCTTTTACTTTGCAAGAGTTGCAGGGAAAAATTTAGTATGAGGCTATGTATTTTGAACAATTTGACAACGTAATTGTTAAATCTACTAGTTGAATATATTTTTTGCAGTTATAAATTTAGAGTCTTCTCTATAAATATATTTTTTGCAATTATATTCATAAGCGAATTGATGTTCTCCAAGAGCTTTAGGTTTGCTTTCAATATATATGATCTTATTGATAGGACTGAAAATTGATATTGTATAGCTTGGTTTCTATTTACCAACATGTTTTAGTGATGTTGAATTGCTAATTATATGGATATTTATGGAAATGTCCTTAATTCTCTTGAACATATGATTTATTGGGTGTGTTGAAGTGTAATGCTTTGCCTTATTATTGCAGAGCCAAGATGATGAGCTGGGGTGAAGTTTTTCGATAGAGCAGCCCTTGAAGCTAACATGAAGCTAAATACCAGAGTGCACTCTATATTATTGGTTTTTTTTTTCGTTAAAATGAGAAAATATTAGCAATTTTTATTTTTATGTATTGAGTTAACATATTGTGTTAAAAGGGTTTTTTTTTTTTTTTTTGGTTGTGGAAAATTGAAAAATGAGTACTCCATATTAGTAATTTTTTTTTTTTTTATTTTTTTTATATATTTTGAAAATGGTGATGGATGGGTGGTTTACTTTGAACAGCGGTAAAAAAAATCATTAATTATGATTTTTTTTAAAGCAAAGAAAAAGTGGCGTTTTTCATAAAACGTCGCAAAATGTCGTCATTGCTTACGTCATAGCTAACTCTGACGGAAATAGTCAAATAACTGTTAAAAATTAGTGACGTTTTAAAAAATGTCGTCTAAACTCTATAATGGCGTTTTGAAAGCGCCACATAGACATGACGGCGGCCGTATTAGCGACGAATTTTTTAAACGTCGTTTTGTCTTTTTGCGGCGCTTTCCTGGCCTTTTGCGGCGTTTTTAACACGCCGCTAATTTGCGATTTTCCTGTAGTGTGGGCTATAAGACCTCTAAATAAGATTTATAAATAAGTTTCTCTAAAAAATAATCCTGAAAAATAAAATAAAAACTCAATAACTAATTTTGAGTTTCAAAAGCAAATTTTGTTTGCTGAATTATTTTTTGAAAATTATTTCCAGAATAATATTTTTAAAATAACATACATTTTAATAAATAATAATAACTATATTTTTATAAAAATAAAATGGTGATTTAAATTAAAAATTAAAAAGAACAAAAATGAAGATATAATTGAACCAACAACTTTTTCATTATGAGGTTGGCTCTCTGTCACGTGGACAAATCTAATCATAGGCAAGCTGCCCACCTAATAAGTCATGTGACTTTATTATCACCAATTAACCATGTTTACGTAAGTGTTTTTTTGTATTTGTTAAAGTAACCCATTTAAGTGTTTTTTTGTATTTGTTAAAGTAACCCATCTTCAATCAAAATTTTAAATTCAGCCCCCTTTGTCAACTCTTTTTTTTTTTAATAATCAAAAGTTAAAAAATAGTATCAAAAAAATAACAAATTAAAAAATTTATTAAAAGTCAAAAAATCACTGTAGACACCCCATTTTTGACCGTCCTCAAGACTTGGACGTCACCGTTTGAACACTCGGTGATCATCCATGTTTGTGTTCGTTTGGAGTTCCCGGAGGCCTCGGCTCGCGCGCCTTGCCTCAGGATCCCCGAACTCGGCTGTTTAGTGTCTGGTTTTGCACCAAACACTTTTGTTTTGCCTTAGAGGGGCAGGGAATGCCTTGTGAGACATCCCCATACACCACCGGCAGTGGCTGGAGGCCACCGGCTGGTCTTTTTCTTCCATCGGCAATTTTGTTTGCCGGTCGGCACACTGTATTGCCGGTCGGCATAATATGTTGCCGGTCGGCACTGTTTTTTGCCGGAATAGCTTTTTTGGGCAGCCGACCACTGTTCCTCCACTTTTTGGAGATATTTTGTGCCAGCTGTGATAGCTGGCACCAACTCCTTTCCCCTCCATACACGTGTATGGAGGGATTTCCCTCTAGCCAAGCTTGTTGAATAAGCTTTGCAAGAGGGATCCTTATAAGAGAGAGGCTTTCCTCTTGGTTCTAGGTTAGAAAAACAGAAGCAAAAACCAGCCTTTGAGATATAGATACATATTATATCTATACCTCTCTCCCTCTCCCTTCTTGTGTGTGTTTCTTGGCCCAAAAGGTGTGTTTTACCTTACATTTCAAGCCTCCACACCTAGATCAACCAGAGGCGTCTGGGAAAGATAATGAAGCAGAGAAACAAAAGGAGAAGCAACTTCAGTGGTGAAGAGACCCCAACACCAAAATCCGGAGCTAGCACACAAAGGGTACAAAATGAGGCCTTTCAAGGCCTAAGAGGGGTCAAACACCCCCAAACCAAAAAACACCCTTAACAAACAACCACGAGTTTAAGAAAGGTAGAAACAAGGTGCAAAAATGGGGAATAAAGGGATTAGATTCTCACCCTTGTAGCCTTCTTCAACAATGATGCTCCAATGGCCTTCCTTAGCTTGAAATCAGCTTCAAAACCTCAAAAATCAGTCCTTTAGAACCTCAGTTCCAAGAGGAAGGTGGAACAGCTAGGTGCTTGTGTGCAATAGTATGGACTAAAACACACACAAGAGCACAAAAGAGAGGGAAAGAATGATAGAATGTGTATCTAACCCTAACCCTAGAACTCAAACCCTAACAATGGCTGTCTAAGCTCTCAAATATCTTAAAAATGTCTCCCCTCAGCCAAGAGACCACCTCTCTCTCTATATAGGCACTTCTTGTCTTGTAAAGCTTACAAGACAAGCTTCATAAGAGGGAGATCCCTCCATACACGTGTATGGAGGGAGCAAAAGCAAGACAGCTGTCTTAAAATATCTGCAAAAGCAGATGCACAGTAATCGGCCGGCCAAAAATGCCATCTTGGCCAAAAAGAGTGCCGGCCGGCACTAAAAAGTGTTTGACCGGCAACAAATAGTGCCGGCCGGCAACAAATAGTGCCGGCCGGCAATATATATTGCCGGTGGCAACAAAAACCAGCCGGTGGCCTTTAGCCACTGCCGGTGGTGGGTGGGGATGGTCTACAAGCCCTACCCTGCCCTTCCAAGGAAAACACAAGTGTTTGGTGCAAAACCAGACACTAAACGGTCGAGTTCGGAGATCCTGAGGCAAGGCACGCGAGCCGAGGCTTCCAGGAACTCCAAACGAACACAAACATGGATGATCACCGAGTGTTTCAAACGGTGACGTCCAAGTCTTGAGGACGGTCAAAAATGGGGTGTCTACAGTGATTTTTTGACTTTTAATAAATTTTTTTAATTTGTTATTTTTTTGATACTATTTTTTAACTTTTGATTATTAAAAAAAAAAAAGAGTTGACAAAGGGGGCTGAATTTAAAATTTTGATTGAAGATGGGTTACTTTACAAATACAAAAAAACACTAAATGGGTTACTTAACAAATACAAAAAAAACACTTACGTAAACATGGTTAATTGGTGATAATAAAGTCACATGACTTATTAGGTGGGCAGCTTGCTATGATAGATTTGTCCACGTGACAGAGAGCCAACCTCATAATGAAAAAGTTGTTGGTTCAATTATATCTTCATTTTTGTTCTTTTAATTTTTAATTTTAAATCACCATTTATTTTTATAAAAATATAGTTATTATTATTTATTA